ACCTGGTCCTCGAGGGTGGCTTTGGGTCAGAAAGGACTTGATGGCAGTGAGTGTGGTTTTTGGAGCAGCACACGCTTCCTATTCAGCCACCACTCATTCCACTCATCCGACATGGGAGGTTGTGTGTTGCTATGCTGCCGAAGAGAATTCAGCAGAACCCCCCAGACGGAGAGTCAGAAGAAAGGCCTGGCAGTGGAATCAGCCGACGAAAACCCTATCCGAGATCCAATCTGTCATCCATTCTGGGGACGGTACAGGACTGGACGGCATTTTGTCCCAGTGGACACGAATCAGGGGCCAGCTCAACATGTATATACAACTTTAAGGGGTCCAAGGAAAGTCACTGGCAAGACAGGCCCCGCAGTGTCACACAGAGGCAGGTCTGGGGGGAGGGGGGCTTGGGGGACCTTAAAAAACTCAGAATAGGAGGTCCCTCAGCCCTAAGAGGAGAACAGTTTCATTTGGAAACTTTCATTGATCTTGTTGCTGTAATTGCTCTGGAGAATGCACCCAGCAGACCCCGCACCAACTGTTAACAGTGCCCCCTGTCCCAGTCAGCGACAGGGGTTCCATTGTCCAGCTGCATCTACACCCTTGTGCTGTGTCTTCCTCATTCATTCATGTGAACTCCCTGCCTCAGGGTTTCCTCGCCCATCTTCCCTGTTGCTTTTATCAATCTGAGGATTCCTGGTAGTGTCCTGGTTACTGGTTCGAAACCCTGGCGGGGTCTGGGGGTGGGAGTTGGGTGTCACTATGTGTGGACAACGACTGGATGGTGGCAGTGTCTTTGTCAGTTGTCCTATAAAGCAGCCCGATGCTCAAGACATTTTTATTTATTTTTTACTCCGTATCTAACCTAAACTATTATTTGATTGTAAGAAGACTTCAAGGGTGTGTTTTAAGATTTAAGGATGTTCCCAGGGCAAGGATCAGACTTCTTACATCAGAAGTCCCTGGGCTTTTTATTTTGAACATACATTGACGCATAGAAGGCCAGGCCGCAGCTGCGTCTTATTTCCCCTTTGTGCCCCTAGCGCTGGCACTCATGATATCCTGAGTGGATGAATCGCTTATCTTCACAAGATCCATCCTCCACTCCACCCAGCTCCAGGGCCGGAGGCCCCAAGGACCTCAAGATGGGTGAAGGAAATCACAGGCCCTTCCGGAGAGCACGGCAGGCAGTAGAGCGATCACAGCTGGGTGACTGAGCCTCAGTTTACCCCAGACGAGGTCTCTCGCCAGGACCGAGAGAAGATGATGGGACACTATTTCCCACGGCGACAGATGCCATTAAGCACTTAAGAACGCTCAGTTCCTGTGTCCGCCTCATTAACCCTCCAGACGGGCTTCCTGTATTCCAAGAGACTGACTCCTTCCCAGGCCCCCGGAGGGCTGGGAGGCGGCGGCGGCGGTTTCTCTTTCTAAAACCAGATCACGGCGACAACCCAGCATCTGTCTGGTCGAGTCCCTGCGCCGCCTGAAAGAACGGTCGGAGCCGAGCGGGCGCAGCTGCCCTCCGCGACCCGGGCGAGCCAGCGCGGCGCGCCCGCAGCGCAGAGACCGGCCCCACCTCCAGAGAGCAGCACCCAGCCCGGCCGCCCGCGCGCCCTGATTTGGATTTCCAGGAATCGCCTTTGTTGTGGGCGACCAACCACAGCCACCGCAGACACCTGCTCCTCCAGACGGCCCGCGCCCCCGGCGGCCGC